CTGTAAAAATCACCTTTACGGGTGCGTCCTCCAAAATTAGTATTTGTGTTATCAGCCGAGAGCGCCAAAATTTTCTTATTCAAATTGTTGTCTGTTATAACTCGAAATAAGTGATTAGACAAAATGTCTGATGTTTTCCCTTCGATTGATTCCAAATTTAAAATCTTAATTTGAATACCGTTCTTAATATCGAAATACCTTACTAAAATTGGATAAAGTTTTATTTCATTGTGATTCGATGCGTCTGATAGAATGAATAAATATGATACAGAATCGAGATTTTCTGATAGCATTTTCTTGCAGTATTCATTAAATATGCTGGTTACGATAGACTCACATTTTGTTCGCGCACAAGAAAATTCCTTCCAAGATTTAACTAAAATATTGAATATTTATATTTTGTTCAAATAATTTTTTGTATGTAAATTAAGTTGAAAGAAATTTAGATCCACTCCTAAACCCCACCTACTAACAAAATATTTTTCCATTACTTTGTATAATATTCTAAGTACTGAAGATGAAACATTAGTTTCGAAACATGTCAGCTTGAATTGAATTAAACATTTTAGTGTTTCTCAAAAAGTTTTTACTTTTACCTACATCATATTTTACCCTCCATAACTGCCAATTTTTTTCATTAGTTCCAAAAGTATTCCCTTTAAAAAATGTTGTCAGTTTGGATGTTGACGCTGCTGTGTCATGAGACGTTTTATGTACTTTAGTTTCAATCTGTGCCGTTATTGCACTACGTCCATGAATTGCAATTGAAAATTCCCTATTACAGATTGTGCATTTAGGAGTCATCATTTCGATTTTTAACTACAATGAACGGAAACTCTTTTTTTAAATTTTCGTTTAAACGATTTTTCCATCTTTTATTATCGCACATATTTGAATTAATAATCTAAAAATTATATTAGTAATATATTTTTTATTTTGATTTTAAATCAATATTATAATCTGATATTATTTAAGTAAAATGAAAATGAAACTATAATATTAATACTTACATGCAACTTCACCTTCACTACATAAATAAAATAAAATTTTATTTTATTTTGTACACCTCAAATCTTGTTAACTTGAACAAAAAGTACGAAATTGTTGGTTTTCTCTAACCTCAAATTAATTAAACAGAAAGGGAATTCCCATAAAACTTTGCCGTACATACTACGCATGCGTCAAGACTGTCAAGCATGCCGTACATACCGCACATCAAAGATCAGCCTGGGGATTACGTATAAAATTATACAAATGAGTACTTTCAGAGTACAGGATTTGAAAAGAGTACGGTTTGCGAAAAAAGAGTACAAAACTCAGTAAATGAGTATAGTTGGTCACCTTACCATTTAGGGCAGATGTACCAGCTCTGTGAACCTGGAACCCGAGTTTACGATATTTTGGTTTTATTAGTACCATTCGATAGAGAATCGTTTGTACTCGTTTGTACCACCTTTAATTTCGTTTGTACCTCAGGACCTAACGAGATAAAATAATTTTGAAAAATTGCCGGAACCCCACTTTTTGATATTCTAATTTTATTAATACCATTCGATAGAGAATCGTTTGCACCAGTTTCGATTTCGTTTGTACCTCAACCGGTTCCAAAATACAGCGATTTTTTGATTTTTCAGAATACCGCTGAAAGTGTGTATCTCCGTTATTAATAGAGATATCGCAAAACGGTCGATAGAATTCGATAGAAAATCGTTTGTACCCGTTTGTACCACTTTCGATTTCGTTTGTACCTCAACCGGTTCCAAAATACAGCGATTTTTTGATTTTTCAGTGTGTCGCTGAAAGTGTGTATCTTCGTTATTAATACAGATATTGCAAAACGGTCGATGGAACTCGATAGATAATCGTTTATACCCGTTTGTACCACTTTCGATTTCGTTTGTACCTCAACCGATTCCAAAATACAGTGATTTTTTGATTTTTCAGTATACTGCTGAAAGTGTGTATCTTCGTTATTAATTTAGATATCGCAAAAGGGTCGATGTGGTTCGAGAGTGAATCATTTTGGTGAAAGTTGTGTTCGGTGAAGAACATGACAGTACGATTTTTTCACACAATCAAGCCGCTCACCAGACCCTGCAGGCCGTGAAAACGTTTTCGGTTCTGGTTAATGACTGAAAAGAACTTTAAACACACTGAGTTCTAACAACAGAGTTAAAATGTTTGTGGGGCCTGAACCAACAGTTGAAATTATTTGCGAAACATAGGATTGGACTATGGGCTGAAGAGATACTTCGCCTACCGTGGACCAGTTCTCCTGGAACGAGTCACGTTAAGTTGTTTATTAACATCGCCACTGTCAAACCCGGAAATATTTTAGGACTTGCTCGTAGCAACATTAAAGTTCTAATGGGTGTCTTTATTGGGCACTGCCGATTAAAGACACACCTCAACTTGTTGGGCCTAGCCGACGATGTTGAATGCCGACTATTTACGGAGGACGAGGAGACGGTTGAGCATGTTTTATGCCACTGTAAATCGTATCAGATTTTCGATTTTTGAGCGATTTTTCACCGAGCAAGGTATTAATATTCGTTAATAGCATTGGGCTGCACAGTGAAATTTGATAATGTTATCTATTGGTGTTCAATAGATCTTTGAGGTCGCGGTGCAAGGTTGGTTGGTCCGTCTACCCGATATATAATTTATGTAATGTAATGTAGGGTCGAGAAGCTCCAACCCAACCCAACCCAACCCATCATACAAAAGCTTAATGTAAAAATTAGAGTAATTTTGAAAATTTCTTTGTAAACAAAGAAATTCTTTTTTCAAATGTATTAAACAAGATGAATTATAAGTATTATGTTGAATAATTTAAGTGAAATATGAAAATTTGGTACGTTAAGGGATGAACTAATAAAATATGTTTTTATTAGTGGTTAGAGATAAAGGAATAAAAGAAAATTTGTTAAAAACAGAAAACTTGACTATAAAAAATGTATTACCTACAGATTTGCAGAAAAGAACATAATGAGAAGCGATTATCCAAGTTGGTAAACCTACAACATTTTTTTCATAAGCTTTAAATGACACCCAACAATGATATGGTCAAAATAAAAAGTTGCTAGCTGTAGTGTTTGAATGTGAAAGCTTTAGACAATATGTTCTAGGTGGATATCGCCATTTAGACAGACCAAAAACTCGATTCTACGATTTTTCACAGCGCATGCAATCGAATTGTGTATAAGTTTAAACTAAACGCTTTACTATTGGTGTCTGGTATACAATTTTAGTACTGTTAAGCGGCATATTGCTCTATAATTTTTGGACTCTGTGGTATCTGGTATCAACTTTTTTTTGTACAGGTGTCCAAATTTCGATGGGTTTGCAGGATATCTCAGTTATTATGAAAGATAGAAAGTTGCGGCTTTCGCGAACCTGAGCTACTTTTTTGTGAAACTTACAATGGCGGAAACCAAATTTTCATAGCTCTCTTCGTGTTTGATATTCAGGGAGTGTTTCAAAATTTACGATTTTCAGACACCTCCTGTATCTCGGCTATCCGGAAACGTAAGAACGGGTTCTAATAGATTTTTTCACGTAGAATCCAATGGTGCACGTAGAATTTTTCTAGTCATCACGGTTTTTGAGTTATAAAGAGCTGAGTATTTTAGAAGTTGAGTATTCAGTATTTGAGTTGTGTTTATAACTGGACACCTGTACATACATGAAACTATTCTGTATGACATCCTATTCTGGGTGTTATTGTCCCAAAATTCAGATCATTTCTGTGCGTACCAAATTTTTGTTAGCCAGGTGGTAACTGTTGTTCCTCCCTTCTTGACCGTTCATTCTGTCTTCCCCCGGTTATTTGCCGTTATTGGTTTTTTAGGTACTCTTTTTCTATATTTTCCAGTGTCTGCATAATGTTCTCTCCAGGTATCTAGGACTCCTTGTGTTGTTGTTTCCAAACTTATTCTTTAATTTTTAAAATTTTTGATTTTCTGGGACGGAGTATTTTTGAGTCATTTTACCGTATTCCAGAATACCTTCAGGTTACTGTTCTATAATAGTTTTCTTGTGTTTTCTTCCAAATTCCTCACAATACTCTTCCTTTTTGCTTCGTTTCTTCTTTCAATGTTGTGTGTTCTGTTTTGTACATATTTTTTCTAGGTTTCTTTCTTTTCTTTCACCTTTCTTTTTACGGCTTTGTTCCACCATTTGGTTCATTTCGTATTAGCTTCCTGTCATACTATTTTGATGTCGCATGTTTCCTCCGCCACCTCCAAGATTTTAAATCGTTTCTATCTTTCCTCCAAAGACCATAGATTTTGATCGTATGTTCTTCCTCCTCTAGTCTTTCTAATTTCCTTGTGAGGGTATCCTCATATCCATGTTATTTAGAAGTTACGATTTTATCCTCGTGTGGACGACTATTATCTTTTATTTTTGCGTTTGGATATTTGTGTCAGCTATTAGTAGTGTATGTTTGGTACTGCATATGTTGTTTTGTGGATATTGTTGTATGGGAACCAGGTATTGCCTATGAGCAACAGATTTGCTATTTAAGCATCCAACATTCTCTCTTCATTGTCGTTCACTCTTCTCTGTATTCGACGTAATTCCAATGTTGCATGTGCCTGTTCTCTGTCCTGTGCTATATGAGCACTCCAGAGTCCTAATATTAATATATGTCTATTTCCCTCTTGTAACTTCTCTATTCTTCGTTGTACCTCCTCGTAGATCATTATCTCGCCTGTTTGCATTCTCTGTAGGTGCATATACCTATATTAGTCCTACTTTCTTTTCCAGTTGTAGTTCTAGTGTTATGATTCTTAAGTTTATGAGTTCCCAATCTGCCTCCATTGTTTCTAGTGTAGTTTACATAGACTTGTTAATGAATAATAATATCTTTGGGATATCAAGAAAAAATTGTTAAAATTCAATAATGTAATTTTAATCTTCATTTGCAAGATGAATGTATTTAATGTAATATTTATTTTTTATATTTATCAGAATTATGGGAGACCACGTTTCGTAAATATATAATATTTTTCCGTCCGTTTTCATAACGACAAACATTTTTTGTTATTAATCTAGTGATGTTGACATCTTTCGACTATTAAATTTTTCATAAAAAAAATCTTCATGGACATGTTTAGGTAATATCAACCAGAGTTTTTACATCAAAATTGTGGTCGTGCAGTGAATACAATACCCTTTTTACAAAAATCATCTACAGAATGTCGGTATTGACCAGAAGAATTTGCGAGGCGATTCGAAAAGGGAGCCCTATAAGCAGTCAATATTCATTAGAAAATTTGTTGAACGATGAGAACATTCCGAAAACAATCGCCAGATTACGTGGTTTGAAGCCGGTGAGATTACAAACTCAAGAGCCGGTTAAAAAAGCTGGCATTCTAATTCCCGTTTGCGTAATTGAGGGGAAAGTGTCATTATTATACATAAGACGTCCATGTCGTTTAACGTCGTTCAAAGAAGTAGTAAATTTTCCCGGTACCGCTCAGAAACCCGAACATAGGAATTTACTCGAGGCGACGCTCATAGAAACCCAACGTCTTGTTGGTTTAAAGCCGCCTAATATAACAATCTGGGGTACGGGTAACTTGATCGTCGCCAGACGTGAATTTTCCTATTTACCGATTGTTGGACAAATCGATCAGAATATCGATTTCCGTGCCCTGAAAATCCACGACGACGTTCACGACCTCTTCACGATCCCGGTGGAGGATCTGTGCACTTCGAAGCAAAACGGCTATACTCAATTCAGAGACGGCTTCGCATCGCCGGTGTTCCTGGGAGGTGAAAAGAGAATCTGGGGATTAACAGCATTACTTACCAATATGTTTTTGAAGTCGTTGGTGCACAATCCGGCCTACACACATAAGATCAAAACTGTACCAGAAGTAAGAAGACTACAGAACAAATACGCTTACGTAGACCGATAAATAATGACGTCAAATTGATGTAAATCTTTTTAATAAAAATCACATTTTTCTCATCCGACAATTATTTTTTATTTACTAAAAAATTTCAAATTTTAAATAAAATCATCAAAAAAAAATTAAATTTGTGTTTAAACATTTATTTACACTTTCAATAATAATCTTATTATAATCTAAAAGAATTATTAAGTATTAAGAGTCAATGACATCAAATGGTTCGAATTCTTTACGTAAATTTTTCACCAATAAATCTTCCTCCTCGCGATTTAAAATGCAATCTTTCCATTCGATGCGATTCATTTTGTCTAAAATAGGGCCAGATGCCAAAACTTCGCGACCAAAATTGATTGGGAAATCTTTTGATTTTTGTATTCTCGTGTAAAATTTTCTTCCAGATGGTAATTCTAAAAAGAAATACGGCGAAGAAGATGACACAACTTGATTGAGACGGTTTGAATCGTCCAATTCTTCAAGTTTAAAGCCGTGACCTTCAGCTTCATCCTAAAACAATTAAAAAATTTTAAAAATAAAAAATTAAATAATATAGGAAAGTTTTATAACTTGGAATTAAACACGAATACAACACAATTTTCTTGAAAAACAATTGATAGAAATTACTCTGGCAGTGAAAGAAATATACATTAATATGAAAACTGTTACAATATTTTAATACTGATAGAGGCAAGCCTTGGATCAATCATTCAATAATCGGATTTTATCCCCACTGTAACACTTTGTATAAGGCAATCACTAGTCATATGATTACGGCGGCTTTCACATCAAAGTAGCATGCTACTTGCTGCCTGGAAACAAAAAACCCACAACATGCAACATTTCAAATGACTTTTATACTAAAAGTCGCACTTGTTTATATATGATATATATAATTTCTGTCATTGTCAGTTGCATTAAGTCAGTTGACTTCGCGATGTCGTTACGAGAAGATGATATCATTGCGTTAATAGTAGCGATCATATTAAGGAAATGGAAAAGAAGAAAAAAGTTATGGGTTCAAACGTTCTTATAACTATATGCTGATGCACACAGTCTGTGTATTGCCAAAAACCAGCATCTGTATATTCACCCTCACAAATTTCAGATCTTCTACAGGATTCAAAAAGTTTTCCTCAAAAGTTTTTAGTTCATTTAATGAAACCATCAATTCAGTGCTAGGATACAATGAATACGACCTTTATTTACCTGCAACGCATCACGTTTGAAGATTACTGACTGCTTAGTTGTTTGTCGTGTAGTATATACTATGTAGTACTATGCCTTCTAGAAGGAAACATATTACACTAACAATAAAACAAAAATCCGATATATTAGAAAGACTAGTATGTTTAATTTATTTTAAAGATGATTTTGGAAATTTACTATGGAACTACTTTTAGGTTTATTTCCAAATTTGATTTCGCTCCTGGCGTCAAAAAAACCTTACGAAAAGCCGAATATCCAAAAATGAAAACTTATTTGTATACCTGGTTTTGTACGCAACTATCAAGACATTCAATTTTGATGTGCCAAAACAAAACAGTTTTATACTGCATCCTATGGAAATGATAATTTTAGAGCTAGCAGAGGCTGGATTTCAAAATTCAAAAAAAGACATGACTTGCGTATTTTAAAAGTGTGTGGCGAAAAACTATCCAATGATCAAAATGCCATCGATCCTTTCCTAACTGTATTAGTACACAAGATAAAAGAATTACACCTCGGAAAGTGCTGCCTGAAAAAACGCTGGTTCATTCTCAGGAGAAGAACACGTTACCTTTGCATGTTGAAATGCAGATGGTTCACAAAATTTAAGCTGTTAGTGATAGGAAAGGCAAAAAATCCTAGGACTTTTAAAAAACTTAATATACCTCTTGAATATAAATCATCTGCCAATGCATGGATGACTACAGCAATTTTCTTAGACTGGTTTCATGGCTCTTTTATTTGTAATGTTAAAAGAAGTCTTAATTAGCCTGAAAGAGCTCTGCTAATCCTCAATAACGTCTCAAGTTATGGAACTCTAGAGGAGTTGACTAGTGAGAATAGACAATTTACAACATTATTTCTTCCACCAAATTTTGCTGCACTTTTGCAACCTATGGACCAAAATGCCATTAGACTGATAAAATTATTTCTCGAAAAACTCTTTTAGCCCATATTTTTATCTAATAACGAAGAAGACGTTGTTAAATTATTAAAAACCATTAACTTAAAGGACGCTGTATGTCTAGTATGCAACGCTTGGAAAAAAGTCTCTCCCGAAGTCTCGGTGAAGTGCTGAAGATCTGGTTCCGCTGAGTCAATTGCGGCGTAATCTGTTATCCTTGGATGAAGAACTGAAAGGTAAACTACTGCACAATTAGTATGAAATTATTCGTTTAATTTTTTTTGTTAATAATTTATAAATATTTAACAGATGTTTTAGATATGTATGATGAATGATATCACTGAGCAGAATCTCACGAACGCAGAAATACATAATTGACTTGAAAATGATGAGGAAGGAAAAGAGGTAGAGATGAACAACACGAGAGTGTAAATGAAGGTCAAGAGTTAAAAAATACGAACGAGACTGTTAACAATGATGAGGCAGTTAAAAGTTTTAATGTGTGCGGATGAAAATGATATTCCACCGAATGATGATTTATGAATTAAAAGAAAAGATTTGTATAATGAACCAGAAAGGCATCAAGCACACAAAAACTACAAGTTATTTCACAAAATAATATAAAAACTAATAAGATATACTTCTGTTCACTTCTGTTATAAATAATCTTTATGTAAATACTATTTTTTAGTTGTTTTGCATGAAATGTTTCGCTTTTCAATAGAAAAATTTCAAAAAGCTTCAGTAATCCGAATTATTTACTTATTCGGATCGCCGTGGTTTTAAATAGTACAGATTATCGAGATCGCACTGTATTTCAGTTTTCTTTTTTATGTATCTCAAATCATTAAGTTGAATTCGGCGATACTGTTTTTAATATTCTTGCGAGGTCTTGATGAGTATTCTCAGCATTTTGCGATGTGATGCTAAACCTATGAGAAATTGAATGGTGTATCTGGTTGATGTTAGCAGTATTATATAAACTATTGACCTTTTGGCGAGATTACATTTTTAGAAGAAGTACCACTAAAATTAATTTATTAACACTTGAATTGATCCAACTTATCCCAAATATTTACTAGTTGCAGTGCTATTACTATCGTTTCAGCCATTTGTAGTGGAAATCTAGCTTTCTTAATCTTAATAGTTCCATCAACAATTACTTAGATTTAAGTCTTAAAAAGCTTGAGGCGACATCAGAAGGTAGTATGATTCAAATGTTTTATAACCTTCGGCAATCTTGGTTAATAAAGTTAATAAAGACTGATCACAGAATTTAAAATGGTGAAAACGCAAAAGTAGGACCATTGTTACTGGGAGAGTAAGGTTAATCTGTATCTTTGGAAATATGTTTGCCTTCTCCCGAAAGCGTATGAAACAAAAATTTGTGACAAGTATCACATGTGGTACAACTTTAAATAGATTGGGAAGGAGATAGGATGGCCAGTTTTTTCTTCAGTAGAGCATGCTTTATTATTGTTTGATGATCAAAAATGCATACAAATAAATTAATTTTGGTGGATATGACCCGTTGCAATAGTCATAGGCTAGATGTGCATTAGGCGGTCAGGTTATTACGCCAAATGCGCGCGGTTTCTCAAATTATAAAAGATAGCTCAGATTTTGGTGGCCGTCGCGAACTGGTCGTATAATGCGCTCTAGCCTTATTCACTCTTTACAAAAACTTCAGTCGTTGGATATCTATTTTATGGAACTACCATGTTATGAAAACGACTCCGTAAGTGGCTACTGTAATCCAGAAAAGGTTGTGTCTATGTGTTCGCAATGATCGCGTTACCATTAATAGTTTTCAGCAAACTATCGATAAGAATGTTTTCTCAAAAGCAAATTTTTATCTTTTTCTACTACTGACACTGCCTTTTCTCCCACTTCAAGAATAGGTGTAGTGTTTCTTAAATAAATAAAGTCTGAATAACAAAACTCTACCACTCACTCAGGTGTTGATGCCTTATCAACCCTTACATATGTTGTAACTGTAGCAGTTACTACTGCTAAACAAGGAACGCAAAGTTGTTGTTCATTTAAAGGTTTTATTCTAAAAAATATTTTCACAGTCCTCAAAGTTTTTAACGTCATACATAATGTCTTCTTTTAACACCTGGGTTGGAGCGACAACAAAATTCCACTGGTGATATATTATTCTTATTCCTCTATATTGTTGACTCGATTTGTTGGTTTTCTCCATGATTCTGCTTGAATATGGAACCCGACGATTAAGATGTAGACGTCGTAGTTTTCACCTATGAATTGTAGATTTTAAAGGTTTTACGTGTTATTTCATTAGTTGTGCGTTAAAGTTTGACGTAACTTGCAGCCGTTTCTTATTCTTTCCTCTTTTTTGTCTTGGCTATAGCAAATAGAGCAAATACAGATTTTTAGATCTCGCCATTTCGTACTCAAAACACGCTGTTGTAGTCTGCTGTTGGCATTAGATTGTTAAATACGGCGTTATCACATGATGTCAGTGGCAAGGGCAGCTTGATGCCAGCTTGTCGAAAGATACTAATTTACTTGTAAATAGCTTTAGTAAATGTATCATAGATATATCATGTCGTTTAATGCGAAAGCGTCCACATCTTCATCCTCATCACTCAGCGTATAAGGTTTATGCTGGACGTAGTAGTTTTACATCATCATCCGAATCTTGCTCTTTAACGTTCACTGGTTGCGGATCAGGAACATTTTGTAAATAAGCTTCATCCGTTAGTTCTTCGCCAGTTGGTTCGTTCTTATCAATCTCTACCCATTCTATATAGTTTAGGTTTAGGTGTACCCCTGATTACACCTACTACATCATTTATTGTATCTATGATTTTGTTCTTCACTGATTTAAAGTGTTCTATCAGTTTCGACAAAGTCGTTTAGCATTCTCCAACAGCGTTGTAAAGTGGCTTCTTTTACTCGAGACCAAGAGAGTGCGCTGGCATATACGGCATCCTTGATATTATATTTCTGTTGAAAGTCAGTTACGTTACAATCAGAGTGTAATAAATCCTGAAGAAAAGGGCTTATATAAAACATTTGAAATTTTGATTAACTTGATCCAAAGGTTAAATCAATGAAGTAACATTTGGAGCTTTGCCATTATCCAAAAGAAGGAGGGCTTTGCTGTCTTCTGGTAGTTTAAGTTTTTTAAAGTTATCCTTGACTTGTGTAAAAGCCAGTCTTTAAATAATGCGGCAGTTATCCAGGCATTTTGTAGGGCATCGTAATGAACAGGCCAAGTTTTAATATTCTTAAAAGCCCTTGATTTTTTAGATTTGCCAATTAGAAAAGGTGTTAGTCGATGATTTCCAGATGCATTAGCACATAGCAAAACTTGTAACCTATCTTAATACCCTTAGCTGACTTATCTTCTCCTCCAGCTAAAGTTGAAGTTGGTAAACAACGCTAATGTAGACTTATCTCATCGGCATTATACACTTGATCAGTTGTCAGTTCGGTGTCTTTGATAATTTTGTCAAATTCTTTCTTATACTGGTTTGCAGATTCTTCATTGGTCCATTTACTGGCTTCCCTTCGACACGATTTGCACAGAACCATTTATACAAGACGCTGTGCAATTGTTCCAGCTGAGGTTTTCTAAGAGTTTGCCTAGAAACAACTTTTTCAGATACAGATTGGGAAACCAAATGCTAGAGTTCATGTTTTTGTGTTTTAATGTCATAAATAGTTGATGACCCAATATTAAATTCATTCATGAAAACATTTCTATTTTCACCCTTTTCCAAGCGTTTGATGATTTCCAATTTCTGATTATTGGTGAGAGTAACTCGTTTTCTTTTCTGTCCAGAGTTTTTATCACTTAGAATTTTAGAAAACATGATAAACGAAAACTCACAAAACAGTGCAATGTACCTACACGCAACACTAACGATGTTACTTCAATTTATTTAATACGGCACATAATTAGTTAAACAGAGCAATCCATAAAAAATGTCAAACACTTCGGTACGCTGGAATCAGCTCGAGCAAACCCGAGCAAACCCAAACGATCTCAAAAAAGGTGTCACATTTTCAGGCGAAAAACATAAAATAGATGTTACTGTTTGTTCAAGTAATTAATAACTTTTCTTATTGATTAAGATGCATAAATAAAATTTGGAGATTCCAATCAGTAAAATCTGTCAAAACTTCTACAAACTGAACTAATATTAAAATAATCACATTTACCTGAAATATCTCTGATAATTCCTTCTGAGCTTCCTTAGGAATCGGAACGCATTGAACTTGCATATGAGAAGTTTTAAAATTTCGTTCAAAAAATACAGGAACTTGATCATTTCGGCCATAAAACTTCGTTATGGCATCTTTAAAAGCCTCAATTTCATCCAAAGTATCATCGGAAAGATGAATTGCACTTTGATAATGTTGAACCGGGCATATCAAAAGGTGTTCTTCAACAATTCCACCTTAAATAACAACAACAATTGAATAAAAATAAAAATTTTGCGTTAATTTTTATACCTTTAGCTAAAGCCACATAAACATTTGTACCAACGGTAATTATTAAATGCTTCTCGACAGATGGACTTGAAAGACAAAACCAACATTTGCTTTTATCAAAATCAATTTTTTGCTTTTTATTATTTCGTTTTTCTTTTTTCGTTTCACTAGGTGCGTTCATATCATAAAAATATTGTTGTGATTCGTGTTTTCTTTTAACTGTTGGAGGTAAAATTTTATTTTCGATATCGTTTAAATCGTAAGGCGCTTCAGTTTCATCGGTGGTTTTTTGCGAAAATTCCATTTCATTCATTTTGTCAACTGGTTTCAATTGAAGCGCATAAATCCATTTGTGTTTTTGAGGATTCCCCACTCTATCTAAACCAATAAATCTCGTTACCGTGCTAAATAATGACGAATCTTTTGGATTAATTCTATAAGGACTTCTTTCATAATGTATTCCTTCTAACCCGCAGATGTGGTAACGTGGTTTTAATTGCATCGCTAACCAAGAAATAAAGTCGGAACCATTTTGAACGTTAATTTCCTAAAAATAATCGAATTAAAAAGTTTTAATCGAATTTATAGGGAATTAATCAATTACATCTTTAGTTAAATTGTTGACTTTATTTGGCCATTGTGAGGTTAAAAGTATATCGACACCACGATAATCATGATTATCTTTAACGCAGACATCTTTTAAAGCTAAAATCTCCTCCAAAGAAAAATTAAAATCTTTTGTAGTTTTATTTTGTGAGGAAATTCCGCTTAGATAAGCTATTTTAACACCATTTGTGGTTATGTATAAACCTCGTTTTCCTAAATAAGACACATTTTGACAAAGTTCTGTTTCTTCATTGAATAAATCTAATGCCTCTTCTTTATTTGGACCTAATACGTATGTAGGTACTGAAACTAATTAACAAAAAATAAATAAATAAAAATTAATATTATTATAAACTTAAAGTAAAATTACAATTTGTTGCCAGACAATTTTATTGTACATACAGGCTTTTCCAATTTCAAATTTACATGTTGTACAGATTAAATTAAAATGATATGTAAAAACAATAACTATAACTAATCATTTAGTTTTAAAAAGTTGAAGTTACAACAACATAGCTGCTTATTATTAGCTTATTATTATCATATCAACCCAAGACTGATCAGCAGCATGTAATGCAGCGAAGCCTTAATTATGTAAAATTATATAATATGTATTTCTACTCCTAAAGTTTGCCATGGCGTTGTAACGAAGACTACATCAATTCAAAAATGATTAATTTATAACGTTGCCACAAGCAACAATGGTTTAGGCGCTGCAATTATTGTCATATCAACCAGACATAATTAACACATTATTAAACATTAAGATACCGTTATTCGACGTTACGTAACTCTAAATCTGATATCGTTTTTGAATTCATGAAAATCGAGCCATTGCAATTTTACGTTACAAACACTGATCAGAAGAATAGCGTCTTTTTATAGATGTTTCTAAATTGAGTTTTCATACTTGTTGGTTTCTTCATAAAATCAATTGCAAAACCTATAAATGGTACATCAGTGCTGATTTCAAAATAGTTGTAATTCTGCTTGGTCTATAACTTGGATTCATAAAGTTCGTTTCCTTTGTGAATGGAATAGTCGAGCGAGAAATTAAGCAGAATCAGAATACAATATACTCCTACGGAAAAGAACGTACTTCATAATTCGTGAATTGATAAAACACTTTTATCGCCATTAAACTAGGTCTGCTGAAGAATTATGCAAAGAGGGACCAGCCCTTCGATACCTTAGACAAAAATTTCCTAATATAACTAAGGTAAAACTTAAAGGGGAATTTTTATAGGACCCCAGATTAATCTGTTACAACAGGATCGGAGAATTTGACGTACTTTTAAACAATTTAGAATCGACAGCTTTGGAATGCATTTAACAGCACAGTTGGACACAGAATTTTTTGGGAAATACAAAATCTGAAAACTACGAGGAAATTGTTGGTGAACTTCTTCGAACTGAGAACTGTCTTAAATCTGAATCTTAACGATGTTAGTGACGACTATGGAAAATGAGTTCATCAAGAAATAGCGAGATGGTTGCTGACTACTGTTGGACTTTAATTTCGGAATCTTCTTCATCCGATTATAAAAGAAAGACTTTCTGAATAAATCCTACAATAACATATAATCGGTTAGTATTACATGATCAATATGAATTTCATTTGTTAATAACAGAAATGTGACAGAATTGTGATAGAATAGACTTGCTACTATAGTAATTATTAGAACTATAACACAAATAAATGTGTATATGATCCATAAAGAAAAATTAAAAAAATGGAAAAATTTGTTGCTCTGTGTAGTTTGTCCACTGTCAAAAAAAAAAAAGTTTATACGCTAATACGAGGAGTGCAGTTTTTATTAATAGTAATTGGCACTTATTAATAATATCCGTCCTGTCATTTGGTAAATTTGAATAATAAGTTGTAATAATTAAATTTACCGATAATTATTAATAATTACTTGTATAGCTGGGTACATATGATAAAAACATTTTGTTATAAATTATTTCTTTAGTTTTGGACAAAAAGAAATGCTACAATTTATTTATTTTTACAAGAAGAACTTATATGGCATTTGGAATTACAAATGATTTACCTAAAGTATCGTCCCGTTTCTGCCCTAAGGGATTTTAGACCGATCAGTATCCTGCCAGTAATGTCAAAAATTTTAGAGAGTCTTGGAAAGGCAACTTAAAGCACACTGCGAAAGTAATAATATACTGCCTGATCAACAATCTGGGTTTCGTTCGGGTTTCAGCTGCGCAACAGCTTTATTGAACCTTACAGATGAGGTATTTGCTTCTAGAGAGGCCGGGAAGCCGCACTTTTGTTATCGTTGGACTTCACCAAAGCATTTGATACAATAAATCATAATATACTTGCATCTAAACTTCATTATTTAGGTCTTGGAAATCGGGCTTTAATTTTGAGTCATTTTTGTCGGATAGGTCTCAGGTTGTGAAGATTAATAGTCAGATGTCGAGCGCTCTGTCTGTTACTCGTGGAGTCCCTTCAGGGGTCCATTATGGGGCCACTATTGTTCCATCTGATTTTGACCAAGTTTTGCAGATTCATTTGTATGCAGATGATACACAGCTTTTGCTGAACTTTAATCCAAATAATTGGGATGATGCCTGCATAAAATTTAACTCATTATTTTCTGATGTTGTGAAACGCCATGAGCTTGTCTTAATCCATCTAAGTCTTCTGTTTTTCGGTAGTGTCACAATGAGAGCAATTAAACCTTTGATTTACGGTCAATTGGTGGTGGATGGCGAACCTCTTACTGTTTCTGATGACATAAAAATTTTAGGAGTTACATTGGATCATCAGTTGAGGTTTGAGGAGCATGTGGCCAGGTGCTTGAGGGGTGGGTATCCGTCTCTTGTATGCCCATCGGGATGTCTTAAATAAAAAATTAAAAAATATGCTGTGTGATAACTTGGTTCTAAGCAAATTAAATCACTGCGACGTTGTTTATGGTTGAAATTTAACGGGGGCGAGTGGGCGTCGTATCCAGAACCTTCAGAACGGTTGCTTAAGGTTTATTTACGGAATTCGTAAATATGACCATATTAGTCATAAGTTGGCAGAGACTGGGTGGTTGATCATGAAGAACAGACGTAAACTGCATTCAACTTGCGTTTATTATAAAATTATTAAAAGTCAACGGCCTCCTTACTAGCTGCAACGACTATCTTTCAGAAGCGATGTCCATAATATTAATGTAAGAAGGAAAGATGTATTGACGGTACCACGTCGCGCCTCGCACCAATCCTTTTCCTACCATATAGCCAAAACGTACAATGATCTACCAGTGCACTTTATGGGATTGGGCTGTATTTCGTTCAAGAGTAAGTTAAAATCCTCCCTCTTGCTCGAGTTATTATGATTTTTTTTAATATTCTGAGCTACTAATGAATCGCTTTATACTGACATGTCGTCGTATTTTGTTATTATGTTTTTTTCCATTTTGTTTTTGTTGGTATTATTATAAAGATTTTCATTTTTGTTTCATATATATATTTTCTATATGTTCTGGATTAAGTGGAAGAGCAGTTGGAGCAACCAAACTGAACTTCGTCCAGAAAATAAGTCTATTTTCTAAGAATGTATTTTTTTTTTTCGTTTTTGCGACTTATTAATAAAGGCATTTATTATTATTGTTTGTGACTTTTTACATTTGCTGCGATTTGAATCACATCCTCCTATACAATTGCAATATTGAAATCCTTGACCACCTAATGTCGAACTCAACCCAGTTTGTAGAGTTTTTCATTGTGAATAGACATTATAATTGCTATAATATTCCGGCTGTGTCCGTTACCTCTATCTACATATAACCTACCGTATTCTTATAAGTATGTTTTCTCTTATAGTAGTTACTGGATACTTCGCTTTTGAAAAGCATATTTTATCAGTTTGCTTTTCTAGTGCGTGACTTGCAGAGTTTCAAGCTTCTTGAATACTTGTAGATCTCTTATTGATTAAGGAGGTGAACCGCCACCACAAATTTTTCCGGTTGTGATTAAATTAATAGCTGAAGTTCCAACAGTTGTTAATTGCACATTTTCAGTAGGATTATGTATTTCCATTTCCACATTGCCTTCATTCCCTGCTTCATCGTCTTTGTCTTCTTCTGGAGTTGCTCTCTCAAGTTCGGTATCATTAATAATGCAATGTTATATACAGTGCAAGAAGTTGGAAAGGAAGAATATAAATTGGCTTTAGAATTGGGTGATGTAGACTCTGATGGAAATGCTTTTATAAGCGTGATTGTTGATGATGCCTGGTCTAAAAGATCGTATAAAAGCCGATATGATGCATTATCTGGAGTAGTATTATTCTTTAACAACTCAAATCTCACATCATGGTGTAAAAAAGGTTTAAATTAAGCATCCAATTTTTTGATAATTTTAGGGCTGCATAATTGGAGCAAAAACAAGCAAGATTTTATTCATTGCTTGCAGAAATAAATGTTGTCCCATATGCGCTAGGTGTTCTAATAAAGGTGAAACTCCAAGAGATAATCAATGTGCTGGTATTGTGCTATTAATGTCGTCAGATTTCACTCAGATCGATACTAGATTGTACTGCCTGAACGGCAGTCCTGAATCGAAAACGAAAATTATCTGGTTCAGGTAGATATTTGCAAGTTTACAGATGGATTAAAAAGGCCAGTAGGGGTCGCGGCAGGAGTATACTGCGATACACTTCTGATTAAGCAAGCTTACAGCCTGGGTACGTATTGTACTGTATTCCAGGCGGAAGTATTTGCTATTGACATAAGTATTAAAATCCTTCTTGAGGAAGGGGTGAAGAACTTGACAGTACGATTTTTCTCAGACAGTCAAGCCGCTCTCCAGGCGCTGTAGGCCGTGAAAACTGTGTCGGCTATGGTTAATGATTGTAAAAGAACTTTAAACACACGGAGTTGTGATAACAGAGTTTTTCTGATCTGGGTCCCAGGCCACTCTGTGGTTGCTGACAACGAAGCGACAGACGAGCTAGCATGAAAGGGCAGCGCTAAAACGTTTGTGGGGCCAGAACCAACAGATGATACATCATTTGCGATGGCCAAACATAGGATTGGACTGTGGCTTGAAAAGAAACTTCGCTTGCTATGGACCAGTTCTCCTGGAATGAAACACGCTAAGTTGTTTATTAACATCGTCACTGTCAAACCCGGGAATATTTTAGGACTTGCTCGTAGCAACATTAAAGTTCTAATGGGTGTCTTTACTGGGCACTGCCGATCAAAGACACACCTCAACTTGTGGGACGATGTTGAATGTCGACTATGTGCGGAGGACGAGGAACCCCAACAAGCCCTGCTGTTAATCGTATCAGATTCTTGGTGTTTGGGTCGCAGTTTATCTCCACAAAGGATCTAAACGACTTTTCACCGAACAAAGTATTAATGTTCGTTAAGAGCATTGGACTGCACGGTGAAATTTGATGATATTATCTATCAGTGTAGAATAGATGTTAGTTCTTAGTTGATCCGCCTACCCGATATATAATTTATGTAATGTAATGTAACTTTAGAGGGCTGTATTGGCGGGGAAAGGGGTTTAAACAAAAAATTATATGAAAGCCCTTAATTTTTATTGAAAAATCCACTTTAAAATCTTTCGCAACAAACTTTTCGCTGTTTATCTTTCGTATAAACAGCCTGTATAATTTCTGACTGTAGATCTATGGAACTAACTGTAAATGTTTATCTACAATTAAGGAACACCTCTATGTCACGAGTGATAATCCGGAAACACCTGTATACCGTATTTTCTCGAATCTTATCCGCACTCGAATCTAATCCGCACCTCGATTTTAAAAATGCAATGATGGTAAAAAAAGTTGGATTTCCAATGTAATCCACATCCGATTGTAATCCGCATTTGATTTTAGAGCATACAAAATTTGTAAAAAGGGTGCGGATTAGATTCGAGAAAATACGGTATTAGATTAATTTTCCCCCAAAAGATTGTTGGTAACTCGTTTAGTGATATTTTTGGTTCATAATTTAAAAACAAAGCATAATTTTAAACATTTTAATTCTCACCTTTTTTAATTCCTTTTTTGTAGTCATCAAACTCTTTATTATTAATTCCGAAAAAATTTCCAACGCACAAGACGAGATCAAACGGGCCGGATTTCTTATTAATGTTTTCGATTTTATTAAAAAAAGTATTAAATTTCCCTTCGACATCCCCACAAAGTATTCTAAAAATAACAAGTTTAAAAATTTACAAAGTATTTCAAGTATTCAAAGTATCATTTCTTTCATTCAAAACAACTTATTCAAGTTAAGTAATCGTTTTTTATTGAAAAAAACTGTCACGTAGGCGCTGGTTAGCAGTAAACAAATCGCCGTTATAGCTTTGGTTTGAAGCTTCGCTACGTTAACGGTTTTTCGCGTAAAGTTCGCGCAGTTTTTGAGCTTATCAAAACACGGAAAACACAGTCAAAAGTAAGTATACTTACATTTTAATTTTTGATTCCATTTGTAACGTCTTTTTATAGACAGTTCAAATATTTCAAACGTGGTTTCAAATTAGCGATATTTGAATATATTTACTTATTTTACGCTCAAATTCCACTATAAATTGTTAATTAACACTTTTTACTTCATTATTAAATAAGTTATGTTGAATATTTTGGTTTAGAAATAGTTAGGTTAAAGAGGTTATGTTTGCTCTCATGACATTTATGTTATGTTTTCCCGGTTAATCAATAGATGGCGCAATAATAAAATAATAAAATTTTTTTAAATAAGTTATTAATGGATGTATTTACATAAAATATTATACTATAAATATGAATTATCGCAGTGATGTTTGCAATTTATAATATTAAGCTTATTATTAGTGCATTGAATTTAAAAATAAGTAAAAATAATAGTTTAGTAATAATGTGCATTCTTTTGATTATTTATTATCTATAAATAAATCACATCGTCTAATTGAACCATAAAAAATAGCAATAAAATCTTTTAAAGGCAGTGAAGGTTGTATAGATCATAAAACATCTTTTATCTTAGGCAGTTTTCTTTGGGTGTGAGTGAAGAGTAAATAAATATCTTACGACCTAAATTTACAATTAAAAAAAATAAAAATAACCGTACGAGTGTCATATAAAATATAATCGAATTGTTATAAAGGTTTTGATCTAATTTGGAATAATTTGCCGTTGTTTCTGTGAGATTGCTATACTCCTCAAGCTCCTTGAACGTTCAAACAACGAAGGATCGGTGTAAATCGGTTCACTGGGATCTTCAAAAGGTCCACCAGGTGCTGGTTCAGGACAATCCAGGTCATCTTTGGGATAAATATTTGTCCTGTTAAATCCAACAAAGGATTTTTGAAATCCTGACCCAAATATAGATAAACCTGAAAGTGCACTATTTCTGGTTGTTGGGTAAGAAGCTGATAAATGCGGGGAACTTCTATCCACAGCCATATTTTTCTTCATCACCGTCCAATATCTTCGATAAGCACACCCAACGCATAACGAAACTGTGATTAAAATAATTACAAGAGCAAAAACGGCCGATATTAATCCTTGGTATTCGCTTGGGGTGATACAAACACTTTGAAGAAGTGGTTCGGCTTTCCTCGCTTCCATTTGGAGTTCTTCTCGAGATTCAAAAACTTCAATTAATTCTCGAACGTGTTCTGGTGATTCTGTTGATTCAGCTTCTTTGCTTTCTTCTTCGATTGATTTTTCGGTTATTGATATAATGGTGTCGTTAGATATTGTTGTATCATCATCGGTAGTTCCGTTCATACTAGCCATGGTTTCATTAATTTCTCTTTTTCTTCGACCAAATGAAGGTTCGGTCCTTCCTGAACTTGATGGGCAATAAGCCGGTTGGCAGCCGTCTTTACAAGTTCTTACGTTTGCCTCAAAAATTAAGTAATTAGACTCGGGAATCTTAAATGCGTTAAAATGAGCTTCTAAAGTATCTCCGTTTCTTCCACGATCTAATTCTGGGAAAACGTAACTATCTACCGGACACCCGTATTTGTCAATTAATTGGACTGATCTTCCTGTATAAGGATCTCTAGCTACGACGTTAGTGGCGAAAATATCTGTGAGGTAATTGTAACCATCTTGAGCTTCTAATCTAAATGTTAATGGATCTCCGACTGCTATAGTTGTTGTTGGTCTTCCTTGATATAATATTAATAACCTTACTTTTGAACTTAATGTATTTTCAGCTGGAAGGTATTCAATTGGAATTGGGCTTCCAGATCTAGAATTAGAAATTGCGAAAAAAATAAATTATATTCTAAGTTGAGGAAAGATTTTTTTATTTACCCCGCTCCAATATAACCAGATGTAACAATAGCCTCTCCAGGTCCTCTGAATAAACAGGTTAAATTAAATCGTTTATCCCGATCGGTTTGGACGTTATCCGTGAATTGAACAACAACTATGTTGGTCATTGTATCTCCAAATCTTTGAGTTCCACATTCCGGGTAACCTTGAGCTCCGGAAATTCGTAGTACATTGATGGTTCCTCCATTTCCTCTGAAGAAACATTTATCATAAAATCCATATGTGTAGATTCTTCCATAAAAGCCTTCCCGTGTTCTTAATGTAAATTCCATTCCGTCTTCGTTGCAAACTTGACTCACTGCAATTATTTATTTTATAATTAATTTAATATAATATGGCTGAGGTCTAAATTAAATTCGTAAGAGATAAGAATCATAAAATTATAGCTGATCAAACATATTGAGTATATGTTGTAGTCAACAAAACATTTTTTGGCGTCATTGGACATCTCCAGAGAACTTTCATATCTTCCTATTCCTCCCCATCTTTCTATAACCAATGTCCCATTTTTTCAAAAATCGTAATAACATTAACATCAATGAATAAATTTTAGAAAACTTTAATTGATTATTTACTAACAAATAGTGCCACGTTCAATTTTAACAAAAGTTAATGAAAGTGTCGTGAACTTCTTAATCAAGACAAGTTAAACCAATCGCAAAGAAAATAATGGTCATAGTAACAACGATTACGTCATATTGAATCAAAGTACTGTTTTATAATGTTATAAAAGCTAAATTAAATGCTAATCAACGCTTAACCTGATGTTAATTGAGTGTTAATTTTTAAGTTTTCATCGTAAATCAAGAAGTCTACGTTAATATCATTAATAAGCTTGATTTGGTATTATATTTAAAAAAAATATGTTTTATAAAACCATTATAGAGTATTAATCGCGGTATAGCCTAAGTTAGGTCTACTAACTATGATAGGCAAGTTTCTACAAACGTTAATTAGTGCTCTGTTAACGTTAACCCAACATTAATAGAGCGAAGTTTTGTTAACTACTTTTTGAACTTATGTTAGAACCATCCTAAATAATAACTTTAAATCTGATTATATTCGTTATATTTAATCAAAATGTAATCGGCGATTAACTTGATTTTAATCAAACGTTAATCGGCCGAAAGCGTTATGTGAAGGAAATTGTGTCATGGTGTGTAAGTACTGTAGAAGGTAATGTGATTTGAAAACTCTACCCGTAACCTGGGTTGTAGTATGATAGAAGTTATGACTCATTCACAAAGGTAATTCGGATTTTCTATAGTAGTGTTAGTGTGCGTCATTTCGTGATAGACTATATTGTTTTGTGGTAATTTCTAGTGACAATTATTAAAAGAAGTAGTCTACCGACAGGAAACTACGACAACGCACTGAAGAAGTCAGGTGAGATCTTGACGAAACGTCTGCCCCTTTCCAGGGGGAAACAACAGGAAAACCGGATGAAATCTTGGATCGACCACAACAACAAATATTATCAGAATCATCCACTTCTACAGTTAATCTATGTGTGTTTTTCGAGTGATTTTATTGTGTTATAGTCCCTGGGGATTAAAAAATATACTTTTGTGTGTTTGGTAACAAAGATTTTTATTACCCTTATGGCAAGTTTGAGAAAAAGTTCTCCTAAAAGTGAAAGTAATTCAAGATAGTAAAGATGTGTGGCCGACTTCAATACAGTCTAATGGCAAGATTACAAGCACAAAGGACCAATGGTCTTTGGACCAAGGAACGATTCCACTAATCCAGATTAATTTAGTTTTTGGTCTTCCAAGACCATATGATTGTAAGTTAGGTTAAGTGAAATTTGATCTTATACATTGGATCTACATGGACATAGGGGGATTTAGGAGTTAAAACTCCCCGACTACTTTTTTATGTACTCATTTGGAGCGAAGAGAAAATCAAATTACAAATCAGGTAATGTCGCTTGCTTAAAAATATTTCGGAGCAAGCGACCAATCCGATGGGTAAACATTTATTTGGCTAATATTCTAACTAAGCCATCAGAGCTATAAAGCTGGAAAACGTGAGAGCAATGAAAAATTGTAGAAAACGATAAAACGACTTGGTACATTCGCTACATGTGCCCTGAAGGAAGTTTGTTGTAGTATACTAGCTTCGAGAAAAATCAAATGAAAATGAAAGAGTAAGTCGGCCATATAAAACAATGTTGTCATGCCCTCAGTATCATAGTTGAAGGAATTATTCTCCAAGCTGGAATACGACCTACATAAATAAGTGGTCATGCTTGGTATTACGGATTCGTGCGTCGTCAACTGTACACCGCGAACTTCCAAGCAAATCAGTTTACATTGTGCTAAATTGCAAAGAAAAGCAGCTTTTTTTCACAATCTGGATATATGGAATATGGATAAAACTGGTTTTTCAACGGTTCCCTAGTTGATTAGATATGTTCACACAAGAAACTTAAAATTTGGTGTAACCCCTTCAATATCAAAATTAAAAATTAAAGGAAAAAAAAATATATAAATATAAAATGTGATTCTTGTAGATACTATATACTGCTAATTAAAGGTTAAATATTGCTTTTGGAAATCTGGTATTATTGACAGAGGAGCTACACTAATCGTTTGCAAAAGAATATGTACTGCTAACAGAATTTAAGATGTTGTTAATGAAAGAATAGATACTGCCGGCAGAAGACTTGCTGGTGATGGATAAATACCGCTAATGGGCTAATACTTCTGAGAAAACATTGATAGTGTTGGCAGAAGACCACATATTGCTAATGGTTAGGTAGATACTGTTTGCACACAGCTGGCAAAAGAAGCAAATGGTGCTAATAGAGATCTAAATACTGCTTGCAGTAGAGTAGATACTGCTAACAGAACACCAGAACAGATAACAGAGATAACAGAACATGCAGATGTCATTAAAGACTTACAATCAGACTAAAGAAGCGGAACCACAAATATCAGGCCAGAAGAAAAGAAAAATATAATTTTCTGCAAGTACGGGATGGATGAATGGTTTTCTACAATGACACGCGAGTGGCGCGCTACATCATATAAAAATAAAGGCTGAAATTGCATCTGCAGATGATCTGGCAGCTAAAGAATTTCCAGCAAAACCGTCTAAAATAATTGAAAAAGCTGGTTACACTCCAGATCATGTATGGAATGCGAACAAAACAGACCTTTTCTGGAAGCTTATGCCAAATGGAACATACGTAGCTAAATTCCAGAAAACTGCCAGTGGGTTTAAGGCAGCCAAAGACCGCGTAACCTTTTTATTTTGCTTTAATGCATCTGGAGATCGAATGTTAAAATCATGGTGTAAATTTAGACACCGTACCAGTTTACTATTCAGCTAATGAAAAGGCTTGGGTGACTAAAGAAATTTTTAACCAATGATTTGTCAAACATTTTATCCCAGAAGTGTGGCGCTATATGAGCGATAAAGTTCTTGAATTTAAGGTTCTTCTGATTATAGATACCGCACCTGGTCATCCACACATGGCGAAATATAGCTGGTCACCAAATACTGCGTCCTTGATACAGCCTTTAGACCAAGGAATTATTACAACTTTTAAGATCTATTACGTAAAGCAAACATTTCGGTACATTTTAGATAAATTAACAAATGATAAAAATTTAACGGTGGAAGAAATTTTCAATAAATGACTGTATCAAACATGCTGGATTAGCACTATCCGAATTGAGACCATCAACTTTGAACGCTTGTTGGAGATCTCTTTGGCCTGAATGTGCAAAAAATAAAGATCATCTGCCGTCTAATATGGATCAATACCCTAACATCACAGCCTTAGCTCATGAAATAGGTGGAGAAAGATTTGATGATGTATTGTCTGCAGATATCGATGAATTACTATAGAGGATACAGCACTTACCGATGATGAAATCATCAGTTTAGCGCTTGAGATTCCCGATGTTAAACAATGTAGTGAAAATGACGGCGGTTCCTTCCCTTACTGCAGATGTCAAAGGAGTACAACTGGCTGCTCAATTTCCGAAGCATGATCCTATCGAGGAGAGATCTACCAAATTTCAACAAATCTTTTTTACGGGATGTTCTTTTACGCAAATTTATTGGGAACGTATCTGTCGCGTAAAAACACAATTCAGTGTATTTGCCAAACATATATTAAGAAACGTGATATATCATAAAAGTCCATTATGCCATGTATATTATATCACATGGCTAATAACACTTTGTTTCGATATTTCCTTCACAATTACAAAATCATTCGAACGTAAGTGCCAAAAAGGCTATCATTATAGTAAAATATTAAAAGGATTCTCTAATCAACTGAATATCAACCTGCACCAAACCAAGTACCTTTGTTATTATTGGAATATGAAGTTAAAAGAAAAAGATTGCCGCGACCCCAAAGATATCGAACCAAATGGAGATGACGACATTCTTCAAATTGTTTTGAAGAATGTTTGATGATGAGTATGCTTTTTGTCATTATTAATGTTATGATTCTATATTTGCTACGAATTTAAATTTAATACTATCTTCAGCAACATTTTCAAGTAACCGGTTGTGAAATTGATTCACTTAATTCATGTTAACCAAAAATTCACTTCTCATCAAAAAATTAATTAAATATTTTTGAATCATAAAAATTACCGTCTAAACAATCTCCATCAACCCCTTGTCTTCCTAAAGATCTTTCATAATAATTAAAATTATTAATCGGCTCGAAATATTGGGGATTGTTAATGTCCAAATCTCTTGAATCTCTATCACTGAGTTCACAATTTTCTACTTCACCATCAGAATACGATGGTGGACCTTCCCTATAAAAAAGATTCAAAAATAACTTTCGGATGTTTATAACTTAAAAGGTACAAAATAATGTTTACCTATAATTAAATGATCTGCAAATAAAATCTTGACTTTCAATACACGAAAGCTGGCAATCCCTCAAAGAAGGTGTCGTCAACAATCGAACTATAAATTGTTTTCGTATCCTCTGTCGAATGCCCGTTTGTTTAAACTCTTCGCTGTCGCATCTCGTTCCAAATGGGGTTGTTGATGCGATTCCTTCGAATTGATCGTAAATCGGTCCGTCGGGACCTGGAGATATAGGACGTGATGGTCTGTGGTCAAGCGGGACTGGTCTATGGTCAATCGGCGAAACTGGTCTATGGTTTATATCGTTTGTATGTGGTCTTCGGTCACCTGTTAAAGGTCGACGATCTATGAAAGGAGGTCTTCTATCTCCATTTGAAGTCGGTCTTTCTGGGCGTCTATTTGGATAGAATGGATATTTTGGACCTCCGTATTGTCCGTCGCCGTAGTAACTAAATCTGTATCTGAAATAGAATAAAATTAAGGATTTGGTTAAGATAGGATGAAGGAAGAAATCTGATTTGAATAAGATACATTTATTTATTTGGTATTAGGAACATATTTTTCTACCTATTATAATAATCGTCTTCGTATCTTCCTCCTCCTCCTCCCCCTTCACTTGATGGATATCTATTCACGTTTCCGCCGAATCGATCCCCAGGTCGATATCTTCCATCAAATCTATTATATTTATCATCATATCTTCCACCATATTTACTTGACTCATAATCTTCAAAGTCATAGATACTAAATTTTGTACCACCAGGTTTATACCCATTAGAATCTGGTGGGAAAGGTTTGTATTTTCCTGGTATAAGCCTATCTCGATCTCGGTTACTGGATGGATATCTGTCTCTTCCTCCACTAGATGGTAACCTATCTCCAGGTATATAGCGATCACTTGGATAATAGCGATCGCCAGGAATATATCTGTCGCTTGAAGGATATCTATCCCCTGGAATATAACGATCTGTCGACGGATACCGATCTCCTGGGATGTAACGATCTGTTGGAGGATATCGATCTCCTGGTAAATATCGGTCACTAGATGGATAACGATCTCCTGGAATATATCGATCGCGTTCTTCATAGATGTAAATACCACCAGGACGTCTTCTATCAAATTTATCATCATAACCAGGTCTGTACGGTATATCAAATCCTCCAAATCTTTCGCCCAAGGGTCGTCTATCAGGGTAATAAGGAGGAACATTAACTTTTCCTGGAGTCGTTGGGTATGGTACGATATCTGGAATTATGTTGGGTGGATAAAATTCATCTGGACCAGGATAATATCTATCATCATAACCTCCAGGTCTTGGTCTATGTGGGTAAGGATCTCTATCATATCCGCCACTACTTGGTGGATACGGTCTTCCAGGATAATCACCACCACTAGAACTTGGAGGGTAAGGAGTTTTAGGAGGAAGAGGACGTCCTGGACGACCTGGATACATTCCTGGTGGAATTCCTGGCCTATCATGACCTTCCATATCATCTCCAACTACGGAGTCTGTAATAAACTTGATACAATTCGGACAATTTATAACCAGACTGAATCCTTTTTCTCCCTTATGACGAGCAAAAAAGATCCAGTCTGGTTATAATTACTTAAAATTTCTTAGACAACGAATACTCACGCATTAAATTTTCATAAAAATCATAATCTGCATTGTAGATAATCCTCATACCATCGTGTCTTTGATTGAATCTGCTTAATCTACAGGATCTAAATCTTTCACTATATGCTGCTGATCTACACTGAAAGCTGGGTTGTCTTAAACACTCATCTAAACATTCGTTTAAGGTTTTATCAGAAAGTTCTGATTGATGTTCAGCACTTAATTGACTGTTTCTAAAACGTTGGAATGCTGTATCGGGGCGTTTTCGATTAAATAGATGAGAGGTTACTCTGTTGTCTTGATATTCAGGTCCTCTTGCTACAAATAATAGATAAATGAGTATTTATATAAATAAGGTAAAGATTAAGGTTAAATTAGGTAAGGAAAGAGTAAAAATTTATTACAATACATGTTGGAAATAAAACGATTAATTGAGAGGAAATCAGGAGCTTTGTGGAGTACGAATTCTCTGAGATATGAAAAAAGGTGTGGATTGAGGAAGTTGAAGAAATGAAGTTGACAGAAGTAATAAAAGTAAAGATGAGATTAGAGTCAGTCTATTAGAAAATTAAGGGGAGGGGAAATCGAGTGCAAAAGAATGCTGGAAATGGTTAAGATATGTTTGAAATATTGCAGATGGATGAAGAATGCGATAATGTTAGGAAGATACTACAAAATTGACAGCTTACGTTTGTTTTGTTTAGTGTTGTAATAATAATGGATTCAAGATATTTTAATAAGTTCATGTTTATAATATAGTTCATTATGCCCATATAAATCTTTAGCAACGGCTAACTTTTGTTATGAATACAGCAAGGAAAGATTAACCAGTTAGCATATGAGATTCAAAAGTTGGTACTTAGTACATTGCTACTACGGTCCTAGAACATCAACAATGTAGTGCTATCAATGTCCTGAGATCTGATATTATGCTTCAGAAAAATCGACAGCTCTGGTTCGATAGCAAATATTCATCGAAAATGTTTCCGGACATCAGAGTGGCCAAAAACCAGGTTTGAAGAATAAGTCCATAAAACAGAAAAGAATAGAAAAATAGAAAGCTTTCGCGTCTTGTTGATGGCTGTAAGACAATATAAAATACACTTGACAGTGTCAACAGATTTCCCAAATTTGGGTTGCAACTCATATCGACGTAGCTGGGAAGTAGTGGGTACCAATTGACATCTTATTTGCAACGGTTAAACGAAGAATTGGACAATGAGTGACGAAAAGTATTTACCTGCTATAGAATTAGTTTTCAGACATGAAATGTTTAACGAGGTTCGTTAAATTCCACGGTCACAGCTAAGAATGCATTCATTATAAGTTAAAAATTAGTGAGCTTATTTATGTTATTATCGTTTAAGCACGCATCTTGAGTACGGACTATGCTTCTTCACTGGGTAAGATCCTTCGTTAGAATCCTTTAACTGTACAATGAATTTTAATATGATTCAGGGTGTAAAAGAACTTATTACTGCTTAACTGAGTAAGATTATATGTATATAGATGAGCAAGCTCTCGTCAGATCTTAAGAGATGGAATTTATTTTGAGAAGTAATATAAATCGAAGTGGCTATTTTGGTCAACAGTATGGAAGTACAAAAGGGGGTTGCGTGTTAATGCTGTAAAAAGACGAACTTTTTAGTCAGGACAGTCTATGATAAGACATCAATTATATACATCAATTATACAGCCTGCAATTATACAAAATGGATGGATTCACATCCGGTATCAAGAATTGATGACATAATGTATGTCATTGGTGAAACACAGTGGTTACTAACAAAAACATTACTGCCAAGTGGAGTTGAGTATAAAAGATAAAGAGAAAACGACATTTACTTCATGTATTGAACTTGGGCGGATTAGTCTAGAGTTAAGGTAATATCGACAATCGAGCAAGTCAGTGCCGCGTAAGTACTCACTTATTCAAGATAATGGAGACCGGTTAAGATTAAATTCATTGTTTGCGAAGAAACATGATATCATCTATATATGGAGAGAAGCCACGGCTATTGAAAAGGATCGAAACGTGTTACCACGACCAAATTTACTACACATTACAAAATAATACTTGTGATTACTACCGATCTCAAATCTGCATAGTGCCAAATTAATGTGAACGAGACAGATCGCGATCAAACAACCTTAACCGTCATCATTTCTTTGAACGTATGATGAATAAGTAGCGAGTGGTTTGGGAGATGGAAATTTATTGCTGCTAGTAATTTGTACGAATTGATTATTTTATGGAAAAGGTACATTATTAACACTTATAGACTCTGGAACCCCAGATGGAATGAAGAAACCTTAATGAATGCCCATGATTTCTGCAAACTAGCACTTGAGTTGAGGACGCTGCTTTATGTAAAATTTAGCCCATTTGTCCAAGCTATGAATGTATGAGAAACAAATCCGCCAAGAAGGAATAGAAGCACGGACAACAAAAGTCGTTGAAATCTTTAAGCAACTTTTAAGTTTAGATAAGATAGTTCCTATTTTAACAGAAGTAAGCTGGAAAGCCATACGTAATACATATACATAGATGGCAGTGGTTATGCTCTTCAACGCTACTTCAATAGAAAAAAGAAGCACAAAGACTACTGAATAATGCTGAAAACTAGTACGCTGTTAATAACGGAGTGTGAAACAGTTGCTGTTATTTGGGCATTGAATCGTTTTTGAGGATAAGTTTTCATCACTTTTCTCACGTTGATCATTTGAAAATAAACACAAAGAATAAAGTACAGACCCACACTTGGCGTCGATAGATAACTTCGAAGATCGTAATGCGTTTTATATCGTTACAAGCCGGAGGATGAAAATAAAGGTGCAACACTCGTTAGTATGTTGTTTGTCAGTAGAATAACCGACGGAAGTAACTGTACAGAAATTCGATGTTATGTTACCACTCATATTAGCAAATGTATAAAGCAGTCAGAGGTTGTGTCAAAGGTATAAAGCAATTAATCCCATATTTATATCTATATGGTAGAATAGAAATCACCTACTGTGATAAAATTCTACTTTAATATCATATCATGAAGTATAACGTGGCATAATTTGATATGGCGGAAATAAAAGTAGATATTAGATACGATGGCTGGTTATATTGGTGGGCGAAAATATGACACCTGTATTGAGCACTTATTTGCAATCTGCTAAAGACTGCTAAAGATTCTATAGGATGTACGAAACATCCATGAGCAAGAACAAGATCATCAAAAGATATTTATAGTGATGCTCATAAAATAAACCTTCCAGAATTTCAGGTTACAGGTAAAGTTGATTGAGCATATGCCTAGTAGTGCTGGCAAACAAATATCATTACAAAATCATTAGTTGTACAAGTTTTCTAATTTGCAGCTCAGAGCAGCTAGTACCGTTTGCAGGCCTTGAAGCCTTGACATTATATTGTACCAACTCATCTCCACGTCCCGCCACTTAAAAGTGGTTGATCTAGAAAGATAATTACTAATTACTCGTTAGGACGTCGTCGGAACTACAAAAAAAAGATTATGGTGATAAAACGCCCTCTGTTCTGGTATTTAAAGAAGGTACAGCTCCATTATTGAATGATACTCTAACAACTTTCGAAATAAATAACATACAGAATGTCCAACTAAACAGAATTCATTGTAATAAATTCTTGATAAACGTTTATTAATACAAACGTATTTGAAAACTAGTATTATACTATTGGAATTGGAAGTATAAAAGAAGTACTAAGATTTTGTTTATAGAATAAAAAATGCTGTATCGTCCATGATATCGAGTAGTAATTAGTTATCTCAAAATACTTTAAAGTTGTCTAATCAATGAATTAAAGATTGATGTAAAATAGATACATAATTAATAATATTAAGATAAATTATAAGTATTAAATAAATTTTAAAATAACTTACGACTGTCTAAACAAGCAAAATCATAAAAATGATGTGTAGGACTTTCACTTGTATCAATATCATTACTTTGCGAAATGGAATCTTCTTCCGACAGTGTACATTGTTGTGTTCTTTCGTCGTATTCAACAGATCGACAAAAATATTTTTCTGCTCTTATACACATCGATTGACACTCTTCTAATGTTATATTACTGAAGTGATCAACTTCAAATGGACCGCGAAGTTGTTTCTTTTCTTCTTTAATAAAAACTGCTAATCCTTCACAACGTTTTTCCGCAGTTAAACAAGTGTTTTCTAAATAATCCGAAGTAGGACTATCTTTCAGCTTTTCCGGGTGAGTTCTTCTCGTGAATCTTGTTAAGGAACAAGTTCTTGTTGAGGAATCAAAGGATGCCGATCGACAAACGAAGCTAATCTCACCAAGACATTTATCTTCGCATTCGCTCCGATTAGAAACCATAACGTTTTTGATATCCGATGCGTCTAGCATTAATTTTTTGCGAGGGTGCCGCTCAAAAATGTATTTCCGATTTGGACAGTCTACATCGGGTTTTCTCGCGGTGATGCAAATTTCCGAAAAGTGAACTGTGTTGGGAACAAACATTAATATTCCTATTCCTTCGGGAGCTGCCTGTTCGTTAGCTAAATAACAACTTGATTCTTCGTATTCAGGTTCTCCATTATACATAGCTATTCTACTTCCGGGTTGGAAATCGAAAGATTTGCAATTTCTTACTATGTTGTTTGAGGCGCGATCTCTTAAACATAATTCTTGACATTTTTCTAAAACCATAAACGGGGGACTTGCATCTTTTATTATATCATTGTCGAATCCTTGAAGTTGAATATTTGGTAGTCTTTCGTACCATATTTTTCCGCTCATTGATCCTGATCCACATGATATTTGAGCTAAAAAAATTTTTTTTGTTATTAAGCGGAGGGTTTTTTAAGATTATTACCTCTGGTCATCATTTTCAAAACTGTTAAAACGGTAATAGCCTGCACCATGCTGGGTACGTATGGGTAATTTTTCATTTTGAAATTAACACTCTTTCCCAATTAAGAAACGCACGCAATACATAGCACCTAAAACCTAAATATATTTTTTTAATGATTAGAAAAAATTTTTAAATTGAAAGTACACGTGCGTGAAAAAACACGGGTCACGAACAAAGGACAATGAAAAAAAGGGTGATTACGTAATTGATGCGTTTCCCATGAAGAATACAAGATGTTACAATGTCGATTGATTTTTTATGGTTGAATTGGAGCGGTATTTTTTTATTGTTTTGTAACGAAATAGATCGGTATTGCCGAAATTTCACGTGAGAAGAACGCCGTGTGCGTTTAAAATTATGGCACACGTTAAATGGATATACCGGAAGTGAACATCCTGGTCGTAACAGGCTCAGGGCTTTATCTGGCGATCGGTCACGGTTAAACCATGCAGAACGCCCAATGACACTCCGGACTTTGATCATTTTAATTTCTATATAGTCGTTTAATCATCTGTATAAGATAAATATGTGATACTTTTCCTTGTTGTTATCGATTGTGCAAAGATAAAGGAATTGCTATAAAGTGGGTTCATTTTAAGTGTTAAAACTAAAGTAACATTTGACCTAATTTTTTATTTTTGGTTATCTAAATGGTATTATCTCGTTTCAAACGAGTACACACCATTACATTGCGATTTATGTCAAGAGCGGACCATTTTAGATTATTTTATTAACTTGGGATCAAATCAAATACAATTTTTATGTGGAAACTATTTTTTATTAATGAGGAATAAAGCACCTAATTTGTTTTTATTTGGACAAAAAAAGGTTGTAATAATAATGTTTGTATTGTTCACTTATAAAATAAGTATTTATTGATTAAAGTTTGAAATAAAGTTGTTATCTATAGGTGGAAATTTTAATATGTTTAGTTTTAGATATCTATTTACGTCACATTACTAAAAATACTTTAAATGTGATTTAAAGTTAAAAAACAATAATAAATAAAATTGTACTAAAAATTAATAGGTACTTAAAGTTCATTGTTGGTCTGTATTTTTAAAGATTAAATCGAATCAACACCATTGTGAGATGTTGAGAACAATTTTGTTTATTATGAATGCTTTATAACAAGTTGAAGTTAAACACACTCCTCTTATTGTGTTTCTAATTATAGAAATAATCTTCCTCAATACACCACATTGTTCACCTGGTTTATTTTAATTTTTTTCTCTTTTCATTTTTTGTTGGGATGACTTTAAGATTTTAACAATTTGCATTTGAACAATCACCCAAAAATAACCTTCTACTAAGAAAAGATACTTTCTTTCTTTAGTTCGATTTTTAAGTTCGATTTGTAAACTTCAAATGATTTTACTAGGAATTAAGAAGGTAAAAAGGGGCAAATAGAAAAACTAGAATAATTAATTATTCTTTAATTCCGACTTAAGTTCTTTAAGATTAATAAAAAAAAAATTCTTTTTTCAGATGTCATTATTACGCACAATCGCGGCGCGTGTGTTCAATCGAAGTGCCAAAGTGTTAACGGGAGGTCAAAAATCTCTTTTTCATCATCTCTCCTGGCATCATGAAACCCCCGAAGAAACCGACGAGAGGTACGTAATAATTTAAAAAGATTTTTCAAAGATTTAACTTAATTATCAATTTTCTTTTGTGTGATTTGCGTTAATTTTACGGAACCGTTTGTCACCACGTATTGTTTTGCGTGCCTTGGAAATTGTTGAAGCGTGCATGTAAAATGAGTTTGTTCACTCTAACGTAAACTCAACGTTATATACATAAATATATGTCCTTGTACATTTACTGTTGGAGATAACGTTACCGTTTGGACAAAAGGTGTTGGTCGTGCAATATCGATGTGCTAAAGTCTAAACTTTAACAAAACGAGTATGAACTGTGTGATAAATTTTGATTATTTGAAAAATGATTGAGTGTAAAAGAGATAAAGAGAAATATTCAACCATAAATTGTGAAATGTATGAACCTTGTTAGTTTCAATATTTAAAAAATGCAATAAATGTTTAATCAATTTATTTAATTCTTGAATCAATACAACATATTTCATCCAATTTATAAATTTACATCAAGTTAACCACATAAATTATACCTTTAAACTTCGCGTTTACTCTCTCAATTAACATTTATTAGCAAACACTTTTTAGAAAACGATTTTCCTATCGATACACGCATCCTTACACGTAATAAGTGACTGTTAGTGACATCGTAGTAACCAAATTGTTTTTTAAACTTTTTAAAACAACTTTAATCATTTATTTAAATATTTTGCCTCCTATTTCCAGGAAACACTTTTTTTGTTAATTTATTTTAATTAGCACAACTAAATTTGGGTTTAATAATTATAATATACTTATAATTGAATAAAGAATACTCATTTCAGATACATAAAGTTTTTTGATCGTTCTGATATCGATGGTTGGGATTTGCGTCAAGGTATGACCGATTTGCTCGGTTACGATAATGTTCCTGATCCAAAGATTATCATTGCAATTATGTACGCTTGTAGACGTGTTAACGACTACGCATTAGCCGTACGTTTTATTGAAGCGGTTAAGAACAAAGCCGGGGGAAGATGTGCCCAAATTTATCCTTACATAATCCAAGAGATTGGTCCTGTTATTTGCGAGCTAGGAATCGATACTCCAGAAGTTCTTGGTTATGATAAACCGGAATTATATTTACAAGATATTTATGATATTCATTAAAGTCAAAACGATTCCCGTTAAATAATTATTATATAATTTTGAGTTAAATAAAAAGAATTTATATTGTTGAAGTTGAATTTTTGAAACAAATTGTGAATTTGTGCTACATTGGTACATTACAAAGTGCTGATTAAACGTTGATTTAAACTTACAAGTACTTTACAGTGTAACCACAATCACCCACGAACACCTACTGATAGTTGGTCCAACGGGCTGCTGGTACTGGATAGTTTCAATGTTCATATAGCTCCGGATGCGCTTTTGTTCTTATTTCCGGGAAAGCACATCGCGTTCAGGTCATTGGATGGTCATTGCTCAGTCATGCCATCTCACACCTGCCGCATACAAATATCAAATTGGCGTGATATGCCCACCATTTGAAACGATTTATACTGCGAAGGTCATTTTTGCAACCAACATTTTGTACAATTTTATTGTACATCTTTGATAATCATTGGTCTAATGTCGCTTTAAGACAACATCGAATCTTAAGGCTTGAATTTTCTTTTGATTAAAACAATTATTAGAGGCAACTGTTAACGATTTATTTTTAAAATGTCTTAAAGATTACTTTATCGAATTGTTTAAGTAAATATGGAAAAAGTTTTGTTGTTTGTTGGTTCTTTACTAATTGTTTCGAAAATGAGTTTTTTTTGACCATTTTCGGGCAAATGGGTCTAAACTGGATTAATAATAAACCAAAGACAAAAAACATGTTTTATTCAAAATAAAATATGTCCATCAAATATTTAATCAGACTGTGAAAAATATTTGGTTGGAATAAATACCATATACAAAAGTTTTTAAAAATCGTTTTTATATCAACCAAGCAAGAAGGTTTACATCAAGAAGGTGTTTTTATTATTTTTTAATTACTCATGTCAGACACTCTAATCTAAGAAAATAAATATACATGCTTTTCACACCTTTTTGTTATTGGTGAAATGGCTCACGTATTGTTTGAATACGTGTGTCACAGATGCGTTTTTCTGGAAAATTTTTAAATACCAAGAAGATGAATTCCGAACAAAATTCATCATATATTATTATCTCTTATTCTATAAAGAAAATTTACTAATAAATACATTAAAAATGCAGATGCATTCACCTGAGTGATGTAGCTCAGATTTATCTAATAATTGGAGATGGTAAGTCTATTAAACTGCTTTTTGGTAAAGTGGCTAAAGTACTATAAAATAATAAGTAAAGGTTTCTTTAGTATTAATGTATTATCAAAATCTAAGGCAGTTTTGCTGCCCAGACAGTGATTAATGTATTGCAAAAACTATAAGTAGGGATTTTTATGCAATATTAATGCATTATCAAGAGCCGAGACAGCTTAGGAATTACAAAGACGCAAAACAAGTGCCGATGTAGCCGTGCTGCCGAGGTAGTGGTACGAGTATTACAAAGAAATAATGAAAGGTTGCTGTTCAGTATTTGTGTATCACTACAAGCCTAAGCAGAAAGTTAGGCTACCAAGGCAGTGCTTGAAATATTACAAAACAATAAGTAAGGGTTGCTATACATTATTACAACTGTTCTAATGATGTACAACTTAATATGCATGTTTCTATAAAAAAATAATAATTTATCTTTTTTACGTATTGTTAACACTTAAGAAGTCAGATCAATATAATATGTGTGAATGGACAGGAAGATAAAAATTTATAAAACTTACGTAACATACGGAATAGAGACACGAGAATATATGAGTAAAACTAAGTTGCAAACTATCCTGGGTAAGACTGGATAAGAAATATAGGGAACATCAGGGAACCATGTGATATACTAGATATGACAAGATGGGGAAGACAAAAAATCTGCCAGTGCANTTTAGTCGCTCTCTATCTCTCTTTTTGTGTCTTTTCTTTATTTTTCTCTTTGTTTTTCTTTTCTTGCTTAATCTTATTTGGTGATGTTAATAATATCTAATTATCACTACTTGCCATATTCAGCAAATACTATTTTTATTTTTGTTTGTTCTGTTGGGTCATTTGGCAGAGATCGCTTGTGCGATAAAATGATCCATTTGCTGATACTGTTTAAGTTAAGTGTATCTTATGTAATTTTGTATTTTTGTCTGTGGCAATAAATGATAAATAAATAAATAAAGAAGTTGCTTTAAGATATCCGAAGGAATTAAAAGAAATAGTGTAGTAGAATAAAATGTAATAAATTACAGCAACTCTGTAACCGTTTAATGTTGGGTCGGTAACTTAAATTGTTGATCAGAACATTAGAACGGTTTTCTAACCTTGTTATGTATTTGAAACTCTGGTGGACAATTACTTCTTTCACTGTTGGCATTTGAAGACATTTCTGAATTACATGATTAATTACGTACCATAGCGTCTGACAGATTTGACGAAGTATTTTGGATAGACATCGTTGCAGTTACAAGATATTTATTCCTATCAAGATATTATTGTTTCCTATAGTTGTATACCATATTCCCAGACTGGTCTCAGTATGGTGTTATAGATTCTAAGTTTATTTTCACCACTTGGCAAACTTTTTTGATCATATAACAATATATTTTCCTGTATACCATTCTCATAGTATAGCAAACTTTTCTGCCATATATGCTTGCTGCAAGTGAGACGACTGTCCTAATATATTCCTCAGTACCTGACATAACTTTCTATCGGTATTGGAATGTTGTTAAGATTTATTGATGGACATTTACCTCTCCTAAGAGTGAATGTAATATGTGTGGATTTGGCACTATTGTTGTATATTGACCGTTGAATTAGTAACAGGAAGAAAGTTCCGAGTTGTATAATAGCTACAGGGTAGGCAAAAGTATATTTCCTTATTCCTAATCTAATTGCAGTACTTATATTGAGTTCTAAAGTTAAACTGGTAATCTGGTATTAACTGCTTTCTGAACTTCTGTAAATAAAATGCGGATTAAACTAATTTCACGTGAAAAAGGTTTCTTTAGTATTAATGTAGGTATTATCAAAATCTAAGGCAGTTTTACTGCCCAGACAGTGATTAATGTATTATAAAACTATAAGTCAGAGTTTTTATGCAATATTAATGGATTATCAAGAGCCGAGACAGCTTAGGAATTACAAAGACGCAAAACAAGTGCCGATGTAGCCGTGCTGCCGAGGTAGTGGCACCAGTATTACAAAGTAATAATGAAACGTTGCTGTTCAGTATTTGTGTATCACTATAAGGCAGTGCTTGAAATATTACAAAACAATAAGTAAGGGTTGCTATACATTATAAATGAATTATCAATAGCTGAGCAAACCGAGTTGCCGAAGAGGTAGCTCAAGAATTACAAAGCAATAAGACAAAGTTTTTATAATTTGGGGCTTAAGGTACATATTTTTGTTTTTTCTAATGGACCGTAGCAGATCATGACTTTGTAAAAAAGATAATTTTTTAACTGTTCTAATGATGTACAACTTAATATGCATGTTTCTATAAAGAAATAATAATTTATTTCTTTGACGTATTGTTCAAGCAAAATACTAACGAAAAATGCACATCTCTTTAACCCTTTCAGGACCAAGCCTGATTTGGTAACTATACATTAGGAACCGGTATCAACGGCGATGCGTTAAGAACCGTTTGTGCGGTTCTGGACCTGTGGTTCTTACTGAATCCACATATAGTATATGATCAGACAACAACTCTTTTTCTAACAAAATTTATTAAACCGTAAACATGTCGCAGTTAAATAATATACCTCCTCAGCATGGTAGCAATGATACATTTACCTCTCAGGAAGGTGTCCTGTAAAGTAAGAAGAGAAGAATATCAAGAATATTTGAAAGCCACGAAGGTCTACGACACGGAGATGGGTTGTCAAGACTGCTTTTTAACATTGTTCTAGAAAAGGTAATACGAGATGCAGGACTCTGAACGTTGGAACAATGTTCAACAAGTCAACGCAGGTCTACGCATTCGCCGATGACAGATGTTATAGGGAGAATAGAAAACGAGGCGAAGGAGCCCTTTACAATATTGAAAAAGCGGAGAAAATAGGCTTAAAGGTAAAATTTACAAAGACCAAGTATTTTTACAATTTAGGGCTGATAAGAGCATAACCCAAGCCAACAAATATTTCCATGGATTTAAAAACAACTTCACATCTAAGAAAAATCAAATTTGTCCTATACAAGACTTTAATACGACCAGTACTGGCTATGGGTTGGAAATATGGACCTTAGTGCAGAAATACCAAGAGGCATCAAAGCGATTCGAGGAGAAAGTTCTTAAAAGAATATATGGCGCTGTTAATGACAACAATTTGGCGTTGTTAATAGTTTAATTTATTAAAGTGTAAAGGTTGAGATGGATTGGCCATGTAGTTAGAATGAACATAAAAAGTACCACAAGAATCACCTTTGATTGCCGTGGACCTGTGAGAAAAAGATCGGTTGGGAAGTCGAAGAGACGATTTGTAGACGATGTGGAGGACAACCTAAGAAGGCTAAAGGTCAAAGGTTTGTGCAGATTAATAATTGCATGTTTATAAAAATTACAAGGTATTAAAATTAAAGGCTTTTGTCACTCAATTTACCTTCATTAACTATTACCAAATTCATACAAAAAGGAATATTTTGTAATGGAGGCCCAGGAATTATAACTGCTTTGTTGATATGACGAAGACCTTTGTAGAGTACGCCTAAAAGACATTCTGAGATAATTAATTCAGAAAGAAACGCCAGCAAACATTGTAAAAGTAGTCCAAATCCTAAGCACAGATAACATGACAAATATATAAACACTAGTCAGAATTTGTCTGTTTAACCTAATAAATGACAAAATTATAAAGTCGTCGTTAAATTTGGGCTGTGGAATCAGGAAGGATAAAGTCAGTATGATCTGCTATGCAGGTGATGTATTCATGACAAGAACTTGCTGTCTTTCCAGATCATCTTCCATCTGCAATGACAGCTCTTTAAATTCTATCAAGTAAGCAATTTTTTTGCAATTTATCACAAAAATCTTGTGATAAACGCTAAATAATCCAGCAGTCATACTCCAGAAAAACATTTGAGAAGTCAGATGAATATATACGAATGGACAGCAAGATAAAAATTTATAA